AAAAATACAGTTTATCACCACCAAACCTGTTTGAAATAGTATGATGTGGCCTTTTCAAGTGCAGAGACAGCAGGGTGTATATCATATACTCTCCTCAGGACCATGCTGGTGGATGTGAAATTGCCCCTCCCCCTACACCAGGATATTCACTTTTGCTTCGTTGAAATATTTATATGAGAAGCACTTCTGAAGCAGGAGAAATAAAAAGCAACCGTAGCAACCAAATTAATACCATCCTTTCACTTCCTACCCGAGGCCCATCCTACCCCGTGTGTGAGGAGGTAGAAGGATGCTGCTGAGGGTTTGCATTATTAGAGGCTTTTTTGAGTTGAATGCATGTGCCTTTGTTCGCCTCCCAGGGTCTGTGGCTCTCCTTCTATCCATTAATGGCTGAAAGAATGCTCACGTTTAATACATTTCTGAAGCCACTTTCACAGCCACCCCATCGTCCTGCCTCAACCCCTGGCTAGCTGTCTACTCCATAAATCCCTTTGCCAACTAGGACTAAGAATACTGTACATACAGAGCCACCTTTGTGGCCCCCGATGAGGGGTCTTTTCGTTTCACCACAGTGGGGTGAACAATGAAGAAAGTGGCCATGCATGCTGGATTGCACCTGCCCTATGGTCCCAACATGTTTATGAACAGAGCCGCCTTGTATTCTGCAAGCATCCTCAACTGAGCCATACGTCAAATGATCACCCTCGCCATCGGTGTACACCCATAGGGCACCCATCGGTGGCATCCTTTAGCCAGTCTCAGACAAGCTGAGCGATGATAGCACAGCTTTCTTTTTGGTGCCACATAAGGAAACAGATGATCTCACCGAGCACACAGATCATAGGAGAAAAGCCACAGACAGTTAGTGGTCCCCTGTGGGTCATTGTTCATCTCAGTGTCGAGCTAGCACTCATGACGGTGTCTCACGCCGTCCGGAAAGTGATTTACGCAGCCGGGCTTCGAGTGATGGGATTACAGCACTGGGGACAGTTGGGAGGGAGAGGGGGGTCCACGTGATCGTTACCCCTGTCACTCTTCCTTCACATCAACCTGAGGCCTGCCTCACTGGGGAGAGGCTGCAGTTTCTGTTATACCTCCCAGGTGGTCCTGAAGCATAGGGGTAGTGGAGGGAGAATGGAGAGGGAGAGTTTGGGTTGATCTTTAAGCCAAACAGGACACAGCTCAGTGACCTTATTTCACTCTCTGTGTGCTCAGACATTTCTAATGGGCTGGCTTATCTTCACTTTTGCAGCCTGAGTACAGAGAGGGAGGCGGGGCAGGGGAGAAGCAAATTAAAAGCAAATACATTTAATTTTAAAATGTTTTCTTGAGTTCAAACAATTAAGAGCCTTTGAAAATCTTTTAGAAGATGATTAAAGTTAGAACTATGAACTCAATCAGAAATATTCTTATTGAACTAAAAATGATGCTATTAATTCAAGTGATAACAGTTGTTTGTGCTGGGTTTTCCCTATGTGTACATAACCCAAGTGTGCTGATTTGTTTTCATGCTGGTGGTTTGTTGGAGTCTTTCTGACTCATCAGATCTAGAGTCAAACCTCATGCCCGGGACTAGGGATTGTATAAAGCCTTAGCAAGAACTCAGTGACTCATTGAAGGGCTTATCTTTCTCATTATTCCCACTGTGCCTATAACAATGCTTATATTTAACTTCCACAAAACCGCTTCCCAAAGGCATTTGGGTGTAGAGCCCACTTTACTGAAGACTTGGGGGAGCGAGAGCGGGATTTACATCATAGATAAAGCAAGTTAAAGGTGGATACTGACAACAATCCTGGGCAGCCCTGGCTGGTGTGACTCAGTTGGCTGAGCGTCATCCCATGCACCTTCAATTCCCAGTCAGGGCACATACCCAGGTTTGGGGTTCAATCCCCAGTCAACATGCGTACAAGGGGCAGCCAATCCATGTTTCTCATATCTGTGTCTCTCTCTTCCTTTCCCTTCGTTTCTCTCTAAAATAAAAAAAATAAAAATAATTTTTTTTAAGTCCTGGGCAATGCTGGAACTGACCTGGAACCTCCCACATGTCAATTGACACTCCTTTCTCTCTTTTTCCTTCCTCCCTTTCAGGGATTCTTCTCTCTTTATTCTGCTCTCTCCCTCTCAGGGTGTAAAATCAACCTGTCCAAATTTTTTTTCTTTATTTTTAAATTTAATTTTTAATGCAACACAGTTAAGCTGTTACCAGCTCCAAGAGCCAAATAAGGTTTGGTGCTTCCACTTCAAAGAATTCATCTCATTAGAATTTATCCCTTGGGAGGTCCCTTCTGCCTAAACTCTTAGACGATGCCAGTCCTTCCCCCTCATCTCTGCCTGGAGGCCAGTATGGCTGTGGGAGAGGAGTGTGTTCTGGGTACCACATGCAAAACCATGGCTTGGGCCCAGTCAGGGTTTGAATCCTGACTTCTCTGCTTCCTGGCTGTGTCCCCTAGGGTAAGTTACTTAACTTTTCTGAGCCTGTTTTCTTACCACTGAAGTGGGAGATAATTTTACTTTTTTGCAAGTTGTACAAAGGATAAAATTGAATAACACACAACTAGTACAAGTTGTACAAAGGATAAAATTGAATAACACACAACTAGTACAAAGGATAAAATGAAATCACACTTCTATAGTTTCAATTGATAAATACTTTACATTATTTATTTATAAATTGCATAATTCAGAAAAAAAACAGACTTGAAAAGTATTTTCATATGCAGTACGGGATCTGCTTATGATGTTTGTCGGCAATACTCAGCACAGGGAGCAGTACGGGATCTGCTTATGATGTTTGTCGGCAATACTCAGCACAGGGAGACTTGGTTGAAACCAAGCTCTCTTTGCAGCTTCATAGAAGTTGGAAATATTCATTATTGATGGCGTGATGTGAGGTCACCTAAGTGCCTGAGACCCAGAGCTGCTCCTGAGGTATGATGCCCAGGTGGGCCCATCAGCGCTGAATATATAATGAGGAGATAAACACTAGTTAGGGCCTGTTGCTGGGTCTGGTGGCACTCACAGCGAAGGGAAAATGGATATTTTACTAGCAGAAAGGACTCGCCATCTGTCTTTTCTCTACAGCAGAACAGAGCAGAGCCCCTGATGATTGTTGTCAATTAGGCCGATTTAAACCATTGGCAAAGATAGCCTGTACGCACCCCATGCAGCTGGATTTTAAATTCTGGGGTGCCAGGGTTTATGTTAGAAACAGTGGCCAGCATAGTATTTCATGTTCTTAGAGAAAGGAAAGAATCGACTAAAGATTTAACAAAAGGGGATTTTTTTCCATTATCCAGTCAGTTGTGCAAGGGCAGGCCAGATCCAGCCCACAGCCTGTTTTTGTGCAACATGTGAACTAAGAATGGTCTTTGCATATTTAAGCGTTTGTAAAAGGAAAGGATAAATATGCAACAGAAACCATACGTGCCCCAAAAGCCTAAAATATTTATTATCTAGTGCTTTATGGAAAATGGTTGCTGATCCCTGGTCTAGAGAGTTTGAAATATCCCAGGCTCATAAAGGCAACGTATAAGGGTGATTCACTTTTTCACTTGTGATCTGATTTTGTGGCAACCATGTCTGTTTTAACAAAGCTTAAAGGGCATTATTTAAGGATAAATACAGGGTGTCCCCCCCCAAAATGTATACCCACTTTAATAGCTGTTATCTCAATTTTGAAAATGAAATGTATTTTAATAAACACTGCCTTTATAATTATTCAAAGTGTGTGTATACATTTTTAGGACACCCTATATAATCACATGTCAATATTGTGTCTTGGGGAAGGCCTAGGCTGGGGCGGAGGTTGGGTGGAAGGGGGGCAAAAAGGGAGAAAATGGGAAACATCTGTAATACTGTCAAATAGAAATATATTAAATATATATATTTAATTGCATCTTGTAGGCTCCACCTGGGTTATTCAGGGAACAGGATCTCTAGTTGTTCTAGAAGTTGCTCTATGTCTGTCACCTCGCTCTGCAACTCCCACCTGTCCCTTCCTGGCCCCAGCTCACCTGTTTGCTCTTCCTCCCTGCTCTCCCCTCTCCTCTGGCCTGAAAGGGGTTGGCCGGGTCCAGCTTAGAAGGGCTGCTGAGAGATTTTCACTTTATTCTGCACAAACCTCCCAGAAAAAGCAGACCCGGATTAGACCCTGAAGTCTGAGCACGCTCGGGGAGGGCGTGGGCAAAGGCCCAGGAGGGTGAGGGTCTGTCTCATGGAGTGTCCTGCCCGGGCTGGAGGACTTAGTAGTATCATCAATGTGGCCAATTTGGGGGGAATTTTGAGGTGTATGGGACTCCAAATCCAGTAGGTCAGTAAGGAGTGACTGCTGTTTATTTTGAAAAGGAGCAGTATGTGTCTGTGTGTTGGGGAAACAGTGAAATGACATTGGCTGTTAGTTAAAGCCTGACTTGGTAGAGGGCATTGAGCTAAGTCCATTACATTGGACCATTTCATTGAATCCTCCCCACCAGTGTGTGGGGAAGGTATTAGCATCCCCAGTTTGCCAAGGAGGAGAGTTAGGCTTAGAGAGGTTAGAGTAGCTTCCGAAAGGGAAGGTAGTCTGACCTAGTAGCCCAAGCTCTTACCTCCTGTGCTCCTGAAACAAGCTCAATGTAAGACTTTCTAACAAACAGAAAAGAGTCAAAAGCAGCAGAAAGCCTTTCTTTCAGGAATGACCACTTTGGGTAACAATTTTCAGACAACCCTTCTATGTCTTTGCAAAGCAATCTGTATGCAATTTGCATAACCCAGGGCTGGGTTGCATAAACCTGTGCCTACAAATTTGACACAAATGGCACCATTACTCTATACCCTAACTTTCCCCCACTCACACGCATTTTCTCATTTTAATTAGTGGGTGTGTAGGGTTTCTCTTTGTGACTGTACCCTCATTCACGTAACCAGTCCCCTGTAGATCACTGCAGGTTGTTGAGCAGGAAAATTCTTTTCCTTTAACTTTTCTAACCCAGCCTCACGCTCTCTCACTCTCTTTGCAGCATGCCCTTGACGCTGACAACGCAGGAGTGAGTCCGATAGGAAACTCCTCCAACAACAGCAGCCACTGGGACCTCGGAAGTGCCTTTTTCTTTGCTGGAACTGTCATCACCACCATAGGTAACCGTTTGCTTGCCACTCTCGCTTCCTCTGCAGGCCATCCTGAGGGATGGCGCTTGTCAAACTTCTGTCCTCGCAGAACACTTGGCAGCGTAAGGCTGCAAGGAGGCTTATGAAACACTGTCACATGAATGCAGGGGTCGTCGTGGCTTTCAATGAAAGGCAAAGAGGAATGAAGAACTGCACCTGGTCGGGTAGCTTGGTCGGTTAGAGTGTCGTGGTGATAGCCAAGGTTGCGGTTCAATGGCCAGTCAGGGCACATGCAAGAATCAACCAATGAATGCATGAATAAGTGAAAAAAAATCTCTCTCTCTCTCTCTCTCTCTCTCTCTCTCTCTCTCTCTCTCTCTCAAAATTATTTTAAAAAATGAACCAGCCTGGCCAGCATGGCTCAGTGGTTGAGTGTCAACCTATGCACCAGAAGTCATGGGTTTGGTTCCAGGGCAGGGCACATGCCCAGGCTGTGGGCTCAATCCCCAGTGTGGGGTATACAAGAGGCAGCTGATCAATGATTCTCTCTCATCATTAATGTCTCTATCTCTCTCTCGCCCTCTCCCTTCCTCTCTGAGATCAATAAAAATATATTAATAAAATAAAAAAAGCAGTGAGAGACTCAGGAGCTTTTAGTTTGAAAGAACCTCATGACAAGGTTAAAGTGAAAAAATCCAAATATGAATCAGGCAGTTGAACTCAGACTGCTCGGTTGTGCTCAAATTCCTTTTTAAAAATTGTACTTTTTATTAAAGTTATATATGAAAGAACCATATAAATGTTCTAGAAGGTTTGTTTATGAAAAACAGCAGTTTTTCACCTCCCCAGGGCAACCACTTTATGCTCTTTTGCTTGGTTATTTTGATATTTATCTCCATGACTCTGAATATCACACTCGTGTAGCCACTTCCTGAATGTTCAGGTTTTAGGGATTATGTCTTGACTTCCTGTGGTGGAAGGTGAGGAGTTAGTTCTCTTTCATCCGCTCCACTGGAGACGGCTCTCTTCCCATCCTCCTGTCCTCCCACTGTCGTTTCATTAGATCAAAAGTGAACATTTGCATTTCTTGGACTAGATAAATGCTCTTCACAACTGATCATATGGTGATCTATAATTACTTCTTTCCTGCAGCAATTTTTGTTGTATAATATTTGCGTGTCTCTGATACTGGGGGAGTTTTGTATTTTTATCTTAGGGATTAACTTTATAAGTATAATAATATATAACAACTCAGTGTTCTAATATCTAATATTTCCCTATTATGGACAATGATGTCGCCCTCTGGACAGCATCCTTTTAATGTTTACTTTTAAATTATTAAATATACTTCAGCTGATTTTCCCTCTTTAGATGTATGATACCTCTTGGCTCTCAACTATAATATAAGGTGAACTTAGCATCCTCCTCCTTTCCCTCTTCCACTATCAATTATTACTCTGTGTCATTCTATAACATCAGGGTATATCATTTACATTCTGGTCTGTTCTCCTGATACATTTATTTTAGTTGTAGTTCTCAGTTAAATGTCGTCAGTATTCATCTCTAGTCTTTTTTGCCATGGTTTTCCTCATCCTCACCCGATTGGCTGTAATTCAGCTTCAAATGGTTGCCTTAAGAATGGCTCATGGGCCCTAACCGGTTTGGCTCAGTGGATAGAGCGTCGGCCTGCAGACTCAAGGGTCCCAGGTTCGATTCCGGTCAAGGGCATGTACCTTGGTTGCGGGCACATCCCCAGTGGGGAGTGTGCAGGAGGCAGCTGATCGGTGTTTCCTCATCCTCATCGATGTTTTTAACTCTCTGTCCCTCTCCCTTCCTCTCTGTGAAAAATCAATAAAATATATTAAAAAAAAAAAAGAATGGCTCATAGGAGTCATATTCCCTGGTCTTGTGTTGTTCAAAACAACTTTCCCCTTGAATGGCAGTTTGGCTGGAAATGAAATCCTGACTCCCATGTTTTTCAAGGTGTTGTAGGTGTTTCGCTCTCTTCTGATGTTCATGCTGTTGTGGAGAAATCTCATGTCAGCCCAATATTTTTCCCTTTTGTAAGTGACTTGATGTTTTGCTCAGCTATGCAAAAGATTATGTCTTTATCTTTCATCTGATACCACTACTCGGTTTTGTTCCTTTGATTTTAGGAAAGTTTTCTTGATTGTCATCTCTAAAAGTTTTCTCTGTTGTATGGTTTTAGTTCTGTCCTTTGGGGATTCCAACTACACATATATTATCACTTTTCTGCCTGTATTTTATGTCTGTAACTTTCCTCTGTGCCTTTTTAACGCTTACGATTTGGTTCTCATTTTGGTAATTTTATCCTCTCCATTCCTTTTGTGTGTGTTCTTCACAGCGCCTATCCTGCCATCTGTTCCTTCCAATTTTATTTTCATTTCATGATCATTAGTGGATTTTTTTTCCTTCCTATTTCTTTCCTGAATTCCATTAGCTCCCATTTCGTCTTCACTAGTTGTCCCACTACTATTTTCCTAATTTCTTGCATTGCTGCTTTGTGGTTTCTCTGTGCAAATGCTTTGAGGCGATGACTTCATAGTTTGTTACAATTTTGTCTGGTTGGGGCGACATTTTTCTACTGACTGTCTTCTATTCTTTGGTAAGTTTTGCTGCTCTTTTCACATTCTCTTTAAAAAATGGAAGCTTAATATTTATGCTGGGCCAGGTTTTTGTAAAATACTTGACACCAAACAAACTGGATCTTCCTGTACCAGCTATCTGCTGAATGTTAAATGGGGCTGGGAGAGGAGAGCAGGGAGAGGCAGGTAGCTAGCTGTTCAGGTAGCACATCCCAAGACTCTCCTTTCCTGCTGCCAAAGAGACGGCAGGCCCATCTGTGTTCTTCTATGAATAGTCCTGCCTCATCTGTTTTTTGGACCAGATTAAGGCGGGAGGGTTGTGGGAGGCTTAAGCTGCTCTCCCTCTTCAACCTATATCCACACCTACTGCAAACAAAGATATCTCAAGTTCAAGGTGACACCCTTGCCGTCATAATTGGATTTTTACTGGCACTTTGTGAGATTTGCAACTGATGGGCTCTTTTATCATTCTCTGCATTTCTTCTCATTATTTTCTTTTCCTAAATGGTGGAATTGCTAGGTGCTATTCCTCTCCCAGCTCTGCTGAAAATGAGTTTGACAGGTATCTTCCCGATTACAATAGTGAAGTCAATAAAAATTCTCATTCAAAAGAATGGGAAACGCACAGCACTGCCCATCCATAGAAATGAAGGACAGGCATTGGGAGGCCCCTCTGCCCTTGCAAGGGGAGGGTTCCTTCCTTAACACCTGCAAGGAGCCCTCCCATCTGCTGCTCTCTGAGACCAGCTATGCCATCAGGGAGGCTCTTCTCCCCCTTGTCCTTCATGACCACATGTTAAGTAGGTGCCTAAGGGTATGCCTCCCTTGGGGGGATGCACAGCTTTGGTGATCAACTTCTTATTGGTGTACGTTTAGGAGGCTAAGGGTTGTTTTAGAGGCACCGCATTTTGTTTTTGTTTTTAGACCTAGCCTTTAGGATCTGTGTTGTTTCTACATTGGCACAATCAAGAAAGTTATGTGCCATAGAAAATTTGGAATGAAAGAGAATTGTTCTTTTTTAAAAGACTCTTCATCTAATTATATGTCAGAGTAGATTCACACTTGCAAATCTGCTTATCCATTAAGATAAGCTATTACAGATATTAGAGGTGTGCGTTACACTAGGGTCTGGAGGCTAGAAGCCTTTTCAGACACTCCAGACAAGATTAGTCCACAACCTCACAGCCCCAGCAGGAAAAACATTCAAATTTTCTTGTTTTATAAAGTGGCTAAATCAGGGTCTGTATGATGCATTGAAAAACACTACAGCTGTATTGGTATGAGTCCTGACGGTACTTATTGTGTCAACTTCTTGAACAACTGTGTTCATTGGCCCACATAATGTTATGTGATAAAGGAATGGTGTTTCTAATAAGAAAATTTGATATGTAACATTTCCTGCCTTTTTTATATGCTACTTATAGAATCTTTGAGTTTGTGCAAATGACACGTAGTCCTTGGTTTCTGATGCCTGGCATCCATTTACTTATTCTGAAAACCATTTCCCCAATGTTCCTCTTCCCCACTCTTGGCCTCCAGGTCTCAGGGGAAGAATCACCTTGTCTAGACTAAGAAATCCATTACTTTGCACCTGAGTGACCACCGTCCTTAGTTAAGAGATGGACATAACTCATTGGGATTAGCCCAGTAAGAACCTCAGTTCCTGGACTGTTACTTGACCTTTGGAGGAAGTGACTTTCTGTCTTACCGGAGGTAAATCTGGAAAGAGATAGGCCCAGGCCCCTGCCAGTCATTTTCTTCCTTTGATGAATTGCTATGCCTGGAACTCAGCTAAAGAAGCAGAGTAAGAAAGGGGGAGTGAAAAACAGGCTTCTTTTCACATCTTTTGAGCTTTGGATGGAGCTATCTGTGAAGTGTTACGAAATACATGCTAAATCTCCTGTTTACCAGGCTCCATGCATTTCCTTTTCTGCCTAACCAGCCTGCATCGGGTTTTCTATTACCCAGCACTGAAAAATACTAACTAATACACATGTATGGGTCAGAGATCATGGAGGGCCAGACAGTATCCTCTGACCTTCCTGGCCAGGGCCTGACCTTGCTGGACACTGCTGCTGCCATCGCCTACCTCCTGTGGGCCACATGCTCTAGATTTAAAGTCTTAGGCAGAGCATCCTATTGGATGAGCTTCTGGGTTCCTGTGCTTGTGTCCTGGCTGCTTGGGAAGGTGCTGCCTCTGTAGTGGGAGGCAGGACACTGTGTCATACCGAGGCACAGGCTTGGCACTTTTCCCCCAAATCTGAAGGAAGGTGGATGTTGAACAAGAAACGGCTATAAAACAGGCATGAAACAAAAACACAAATAAAACCCAAACCATAAGCCTACTTCAGTATCATGGCTCAGTGTTAGTGCTAGAGATTGGGTCCTTGTTCCATTCAATGAAAAAAAAAAGGCTATTTTGTC